TGGGAATTCAGTGGAATGTGGAACTTGACTGTTTTAAGTTTGATGTTTGTCTCAAGGAGCAGCCAGCAACTCGACGTGGAATCTTGTCTACGATTGCATCATTGTATGACCCATTAGGTTTTTTAGCTCCATTCATCCTTCGTGGAAAGAAGATGCTTCAGGAAGTATGTAGAAAGGGTGCAGGTTGGGATGACACACTGAGTTACGAGTTGCAGCCAAGGTGGGAGTGCTGGAAAAGGGATCTGAACAACTTGAAGAAAGTTACCCTTCTCCGCACATATGTTCCTTCTGCGTTTGGAAGGGTAAAAGAAGTGGAGCTGCATCATTTTTCGGATGCTAGTTCTAGTGGGTACGGGCAGTGCTCATATCTGAGATTAAAAAATGAAAGAGAAGATGTTCATGTTGCTCTTGCAATGGCAAAGTCTTGTGTGTCCCCGATAAAGATTACAACTATTACGAGGTTGGAGTTAACAGCTGCAGTTGTTTCAGTAAGTGTCAGTAGAATCCTTAAAGAAGAGCTTCAATATACAGACATTACCGAATTTTTCTGGACCGACTCTAAGGTTGTTCTGGGATACATCAATAATGAGGCCAGACGATTCCACACGTTTGTTGCTAACAGAGTACAAAAGATTAATTTAAGCACTGTGCCGCAGCAATGGAGATATGTTCCAACAAAAGACAATCCTGCGGATCATGCCTCAAGAGGTCTCACCGTGGATGAACTGATCTCGTCTAACTGGTTCACGGGGCTACAGTGTCCCAACTTTTTTGGAATCGGGTTTGTACTTCAGGAAGTATGTAGACAGGGTGCAGGTTGGGATGACACACTGAGTTATGAGTTGCAGCCAAGGTGGGAGTGCTGGAAAAGGGATCTGATCAACTTGAAGAAAGTTACTCTTCTCCGCACATATGTTCCTTCTGCGTTTGGAAGGGTGAAAGAAGTGGAGCTGCATCAGTTTTCGGATGCTAGTTCTAGTGGGTACGGGCAGTGCTCATATCTGAGATAAAAAAATGAAAGAGAAGATGTTCATGTTGCTCTTGCAATGGCAAAGTCTTGTGTGTCCCCGATAAAGATTACAACTATTACGAGGTTGGAGTTAACAGCTGCAGTTGTTTCAGTAAGTGTCAGTAGAATCCTTAAAGAGCTTCGATATACTGACATTACTGAATTTTTCTGGACCGACTCCAAGGTTGTTCTGGGATACATCAATAATGAGGCCAGACGATTCCACACGTTTGTTGCTAACAGAGTACAAAAGATTCATTTAAGCACTGTGCCGCAGCAATGGAGATATGTTCCAACAAAAGATAATCCTGCGGATCATGTCTCAAGAGGTCTCACCGTGAATGAACTGATCTCGTCTAACTGGTTCATGGGGCCAGGGTTCTTGTGGAATAAGGAAATTGCCCTCCCATCTAGTGAAGTTCCAGAATTACAACTAAGTGACTCTGAAGTCAGAAGTTTTCAAACATTTAACACAAAGGTAGTGGAGCAGGGAACTATTGTAAATCGCCTGTGCAAGTTTTCATCTTGGTCTAATGTGGTCAGAGCAATTGCACGCATTCAACGACGAATTAACAAGGATAAATCAAGCAGTCTTTCTACAGTTGAGGAGAGAGAAAGGGCAGAGTGCCTAATAGTCAAACTTCTACAAAACCACGTGTTTCACACCGAACTGAAAGTGTTAAGTAAAGGTGCCCAGTTGTCATCTCACAATGAATTGTACAGCCTTGACCCATTTCTCGACAGTGACGGTGTGCTTAAGGTGGGAGGACGACTTGGTAACTCTTCTCTTTGCCATTCACTTAAACATCCCGTAATTATTCCCAAAAACCATCATATTACAAGGTTGATCATAGCCGATTGCCATGAAATGGTCTTTAGGTAGGGTTGTAGAAACTACTATAGATTCAGATGGGCTTGTGAGGAGAGTTCGGGTTCATCTTGGTGATAAAAATTTGGGGGGAAATCTGGAGAGTCTTAGTAAGCTTTCCGTAATTGAACTTCCAGTCCAGAAGTTGGTTTTATTGTTGGAGGCTTGTTAATTCCTTTTTTTTCTTTTTTTTTCTTTTGTTGTTTTCTTAATTATGTATTTTTATATGCCTTGTATTGTGGGTCATGGTATTTTTGAAATCATTCGTGTATTGTGACTCATGATTTGGTGGGAGTGTAAAGGATTGCCAATTTGTTAAACCGAATATATGAAGTCTGCATTGCGTTGCATTGACCCTTTTGTACGGAACAGCTAAATTACTTTTATTTTGAAATGAACTTAACGCGCAAATCGGACTGTATAAATCACGACCCATTTCCGCCATTTGGGTGTGTGTGTGTGTGTGTGCACGCTTTGTGAAGGACGTAGCCTGCAGTTTGTGGCGTGTTTCTCCTTTTATTGTACTTGTGCATCTCACTGAAAAGGGTAATAAGGTAAATGATTTTGTACATTGTATGATGCGTAATGTAATGTCCGGTTTCGTATTTGGTTTATGTATTGTTTGTTTTTGTTTTTTGTGTTCGTAGTTCTTACGGTGTCTACTTGAATGTCAACGGATTAAACATTTTCGGAAATATCAGTTAAAGAGCATTGACCATCATTTCAGTGGGGTAGCAACACTAGCTGCTCTAGGCGCACCACAGGCCAGTCTCGCGAGACTGGTTCCCTTAGGAGGTCACCTGGCGGTGTGGGAGCCCCTGCCAAGTGTGCTTCATTGGGTCCTGCACCAAGCAGGCTCTGGTTCTATCAGTCGAGTCTCCCTAGCAGATGACGCGGGTCTGAGGACCGTTATTTTCAAGAGGAGACTTCAGCTATGAGGGTCCTGATGCTATGGCACAGGACCTCGGAGGGCAGGCCCCTCTGGGGAAGAGTGGTGTACACCGTATCAGACGGTGCCTGTCTCTACTTAGTGCCCTCAGGAGATCAGTCTGCCAACCTTGCCGGTGTTCCAGGGCGCAGCAGTCTCCGGCGAGCCCTTCTCTCAGTTACTGCCTGGAAACGTAGCGGTGCTAAGAGGCTCCACGGAGGTCTCTAGAGCAGCTAGTACGGCCGGCCCCTGCCGGTTCGCCGCTTCAGGACACCGAGCTAGCTGCTCTCATTACACCAGAGGTCAGTCTCGGGAAACCTTGGTTCTTGTCTCAGGGCCCGGTGCTGGGAGCTCCTGGTCGCCGCGTACGCCAGCGACGGATGCATCCCTCACCAGTTGGGGTGCGGTCATGAGTGGCCACCCTGCCCGCAGTCTGTCGAGTGCTCGCCATCTGACGTGGCATATCAATTGTCTGGAGATGCTGGCCATGTTTCGAGTTCTGAAACACTTTCTCCCAGACCTAAGAGGTCACCATGTGTTGGTGCGCACCGACAACACAGCGGTGGT